TGTCCAAAATGTGTTTCCTGTGTGTTGCGGCGCGGTGGGGGAGTGAGGGGGAGAGTGTGGGGGAGGAGTTTGGGCATACGAACGGCAGCCAGTTTCTGTCCACTGCTGGCTGGAAGAGTCAGCACGACGCTCGCCGTCGTCGCGCCGATGGGTGTTGAGTGCGGGGCCGCTGCCCTCTCAGCGCTGGTGACGCGAAGTTGCGCGCTGTAGCACGCTGGTGGTTAATGTTGGCACGCACTGGTGCTGATGCTGGTACTGATGGCACGCTGGTGGCGCGCGCTCCCTCTCCTTGAAGATGCACGAACGTGCCCGTGCTGTTTCTCTGATAGCAGTTTCTCTCCACTGCTGGCTGAGCTGCTGCACGCTCTTGCTTGGCGTTGCTGGCCGCGCTCTTTCTCCTTGAAGATGCGCGAACGCGCCCATGCTGGTTCGCTGACAGCAGTTTCTCTCCACTGCTGGATGAGCTGCTGTAGTATCTGACGCTGTGCTCGCGGGCGACAGGTCAAGTTTTCTTCTGCTGAGTGAGCCGAGTCGCACACGCTCTCTTTGTTGAGGTTGTTGGCGGCTCTCTGGCAGCAGGTTTCCTCCACTGCTGTATGACTCAAGTCGCACGCGCTTGGTCGCTGGTTTGCTGAAGTTGTTGGCAGCTGTCCAAGCTTTTCCGCTGCTGGTTGAGCCACGTTGCACGTGCTTTCTCTGTGGAGATGCTCGAGCGCTCTCAGCGCTGATTCGCTGATACTTTGTTGGCGACTGGCCAAGCTTTTCTTCTGTTGAATGAGTTGATTCGCACGTGCTCTCTCTCTTGAAGTGCGCGAACGCGCCCGTGCTGGTTCGCTGACAGCAGTTTCTCTCCACTGCTGTATGACTCACTTTTGTTGATACATCGCGACTCAGCGATCCTCGCTACTCAGCGAGGCTCGGAGCCAGCCGCTCCATGCGACTGCTCGTCCTGTGGACGTCTTGACTCGCTGATCTGTCTTGACTCTTAACGTCTTGACTGAGTTTTGAAAAATGCGGCTGACCATTATATTCAAAGACAATTCTCTCCGCGCAGTGGAAAAGGGGGTGGGGGGCGCGTGGTCTGTGTGTGTGTGTGCGTTCGTGTGTGTGTTTGTGTCCTGGTTCTGTTCGGGTCTTCCTCAAGCCATAAACCATCAAGGAGACAGACGCTTCGATTCATCTCGAAAGCGTCTGTCTGTCGACGCTGTTCTTCCAGAGAGAGGGGCGGGTTCCCCTCCCTTTTTCGTACACGTTTCCAAAGCACAAAGAAATGGTTAAGATTTTTAAAGTTTAACATTTCACATCACAGTTGGTATTGTGCCGTACCCATATATAATTCTGCTTGTGGTTCGGGGTATTTGATTTTGTTTCCAAGTGAAGATGCTCTTCCGAGCGTATGCATTTTATCACGTGCTGCGGGGAGAGACAAAGGTGGCCGGGATCTTCCCATCTCTCTATACTTTGAGTTGGCATCGCTCAAATATCATTTCGACTCCACATTCTACCAGCCTAATCCACCCCGTTACCTTGGCTCTTACTTAGTTTATTAATTTTCGTCACTCTGTGTGTGTTATCATATATAAATGTGTGGCAGTTTATTTAGCTTAAAGCTCGCTCGCTCTTTTGCTGCCCGTGTGCAGAGTGGGGTGGGGCCACTATTAAGTCCCGTGTGTGGCAGATGGTTCCTGCGATAACGATCTGTTTGCCCTGGTGTGAAATTCCTGTCTCGCGCTCTGCGGGAGAGACAAAGGTGGTCGGGAGTACCTATCTCTTTATACTTTCGACTTTATATTTCTCAAATACCATTTGGTCCCATGTTCGCCAAGACTCGTGTTTGTAACTACGTCCTCCCGACACCTCTCGGTTTACCGAGGTTCGCATTGTTATGATGGAATTATTAAAAAGAAAAATAATTTTCATCCTGAGTTTAAGAAGTCCGTTTCTTGATTTTGGAATCCATATCCCTTGGTTCTGTAAGGTTCTATAATGGAATGTCGTGTAAGGTGAACACGTTATTCTTAATTTTATGTGTGACTGATGTGTAGCCACTTCTTTAACTTAAAAACGCTCGCTGGCTGTTGTGTGTGTTTCTCATTAACCCGTCTGGCTAGCTCCAGATGGCCCCTTGTGATAAGGTGTGATTCCTGCTTCTCCGCGCTGCGAGAGAGACAAAGGTGGTCGGGGTTGCTTGGGATATTGTTTAAACTCTTTCGCAAGTTTGCCCGTTGTCTCATTCCTTCTCGAAAACCTTTGATGTGACTGTATTTTGTCTCCAAGCTTTGTTTTAACAGTAAAAGTATTAAAGGTGAAAACCATTTGATAGCGAATTAATTATTGGATAATAATTCACTGATGTATCTGGTGGCCTGGTCTTAATTGGAGTGAGCGCGAGGACCGCTAACTTTGGCTTATTCTTGTTATTGCATTTTAAATTTTAACCGTTGTTTAAATGAAAAAATATGGTTTCACCCGTGGGCGTCCTCGTTTCTGGCTTGCGTAGGGCTTCCCTCTGTGTGACCTCCCTTAGGGCACATCAAACTCTTGTTCATCTGGAGATCTTCGCAGATAGCTGCTAACATCCTCGCCTCGAGAGTTTTATTATTTCTTTATATTTTTTAATGGCCTGTTTATGATCGACATCTGGTTTTTCGTGTGACTGGCTTACGGGTTTTATTGATTATTTTTTTCGTTTGTTAAAAAAATATGATATATATAACGCAAATATTATTGTTAATATCAATTTTGGAAAAGGCTCATATACAACAGGACCTATCATAAGCACACTATCACACACATAATCCATAATCCATAACACACATAATTCATAATGTTCAATCAAGAGTAATCGTATCCTTATCGATAATACGGAATTAAAGAGCAGAGTCGAATCGACCCTCTCTCATTCATGCTCACAACACCTACAGAACTGCATACGATTAATTGCGTTATTCCAATTCATAACCGAATCCTCGTCACTGAAGCTGGACCTAATTATCATAACGACCTGCATTATCATAGTCACGCCTACTCGTATAAATTAATACGATTAACTCTCGAATCAGCATAATTTATGCGCATACTTACACTAATTAACATAATTTAGGATAAATTGTTCAAATTTAAATTTTCATTATTTTCATAAATTTTCATAACACCTATATATACAACACAACCCCAGTGAGTAATTTTATACAGTCACGAAAGCTTTAATACCATATATATTACTGTTTACTAATTTTATTACTCTTAATTATTAGGTGAGATGATAGAGGTTGAGCTATGTTTGCTGATCGTACATATGCACACTGTAACACGTTTTTCCCCCCTGGATAGTGTTATTTTTAATTTGTTTAAGCCTACTATTTATGGAAAATGTCTATTATTCCCCACAAACTTTGCTTTTGTAACCAGGCCTTTATGTGAGGGAATGCCACAAATCCACACGTATCATTAAAAATAGCTACATTTTTATATATGTCCTTGACACAAAAGCTCAGTTTGAGGGGAATTATAGCTTTTTGGTACTTTTGAGGCATAAGCATATAGAGAGTAACACTTACTACGCAGTGACTAAATAAATCATCACTTTTTATTACACTGTTTATTAACGATACCAAATGTGCTCTTTTTAGACTTTATTATTATTTAAATAAATAAATATCCTTATGTTTTGTTTCCAGCTTATTCACACTTTCCCCCTCTATGCGGGGGTTGGTCAGTGATATGTTTTTCCGGGTTTATTTGTGTGCATCTGGACATAGTTACAGGTCACATACGTTTATTATTAGTTTATATTTATTTACACTTTCGCTCGCGGCTAATTAAAAACAAAATGGCGGCACATTTTATCGTACTTATTTTATTATTTAGAAACGGGACTCTTTTTTATTAATCATTTGCCTCTTTCGGTAACGTCGCGTGAATAGAAACATACCAATACATTCAGTTTGTCCAAGTGTGCGTGTTTGTTCGTCCATGTGTGTGTGAGTCCATGTGTGTGTTGATAGTGTACTGGTAACGGCGCTGCACCACGAACCTGGCGACCCCAGTTCAATTCCCGCTCACGGCCAACACCGGTGACGATTATCTGAAACGCTCCTGAGCCTCCCCTAGCTCGACTCAGCCTCAAATTAGTACCTCGTGCGGTGTGTAAACACCGCCACTGGAAAGACAAAGGCGGCCGGGCGTGGTGCTGGCAGCGTGCCTTTTTCTTTGGTACTTTCCCTAAAGTCACGTAGATTGACCATTCCTAATATTACAGAAAATGTGAGAAATAATTTAATTCTTACTAATATTATGCAAATATTAAACTACAAAAAATCCACTCATGTAGACTGCAGCCTGCTTTCTTATCGGAGTTAGTGTACTGGCAGTCTATAATGTGGACTGTTGCCTGCTTATTAAGGTGAGTGTACTGCCAATCTATAATGTAGATTGCAGAAATTGTTATTAAGCTAGGTGAGTGTACTGGCAGTCTAGAATGTGCACTGTTGTCTGCTTATTAAGTAAGGTAAGCGTACTGGTAGTCTAGAATGTAGATTTATTCTTGATTCTTAAATGGATTTTGCTTGTTTGGTTTGCTAAGGTCATGCTCATTAATTATATGTAGTACTACGATGGTGATTTTAATGGTATAGTGCTAAATAAATACTACTTTTTTAGCTTTGCTTAAATTTGGTGCTTAATTTTGTTATATTGTTGGAAAAATCAACCATTGAAAATTTGCTGTACTGCAGCTTTTATTTTCACATTGCGCTGATGGAGCGAGCACAATAATATTAGTTTTTTTGGTAGACAATGTTTGCATTGCATTCACATGTACGAACGATTTTGTGGCTTTTTATCTTCATGATCATTTTTATTATTTGCCTCATTGATGGTATATTAGTATTATTGGATTCATTAATACTAATGATTTGTACAGTATCACAATGGCTGACTAGAATATGGTATGAAATACTCTACATATTTATATTATTTATTTTGGTTAAATGTTACATATTTCTGATATTTTTAATTTAATGTTAAATCTTTCAGATGTTATAAGTTTAATGTGCATTGCATATGATACGTTCTGGTGGACACTGTACAGGTAAGACAGATTTACAGTTCCCTAAAAACACACAATTGTTTATTTTAATAAATAGTTTTTCTGTTTTATATTCACTGCTAGGGATTAAACTACGTTTCATGATACTAAATATATTCACAGTTTTATAGGTTAGATACATTTTTCTAATTTGATTAATATTGTTAATCGGACATCTTTATCTAATATTAACGCTTCCACACAATCCCGTCAATACAGGAATTGAACCGTGAGGTGATGTTCATTCCGTTTGATTGCTGTGCATCTACACATCTTTACAGGTAAGAAAACTGATTTTATTACGAGTTTGATTTTATTTATTTGATCCTTTTGCTCGCGATAAAAGATCTTTGTCCGTCCTTTTTTACTTATTAACGATTGCTTTTAACTTGTTGGGTTTGCTTGGTTCAGGCCAATTTTTTCAATATAGTACTGCTCAGGTGATTTAAATATTTTAGTGGTTCGATAGTTGATTACATTTAGTCTTTTGAAAATGCTCTACATCTAACCTATATAATTCATGTCTGTCTGTCCGTCTGTCTGTGTACGCTCGCTTGCGGGGGATTTGGCTCTCGGACCGCGGGGTTTGCGTGGAAATTTTTTTGCCAGGCGGCGCCCCCGGGCCCCCCACTCGGCTTAGGCTATTCCGTTTTGCCGTCCGTCGCCTTTAAAGTGGTTTAATTAACGTTTTGGTGCGATTCCTCTTTATTTATTTACTTACTTTCACCGACCGGCTCGCTGCTGCGCATGCGCAAAACGCCGTTGCCCATGGCAACGCACAAACGCCGTCGCCGCAGGGTGGACGCCATTGCTCATTCAAAATGCAAAAAATTTACACGCGACGCTGAGGTAAATTCATCAAAGTGTCACGACCTCTTCTCTCCCTCTCCACCCCAATGTGTGCACTAACTATTATAGGCTCGGTAGATACTAAAATTCTAGCGATTAAATAGGATTATTGTAGCGCGGGGGGGTGGGGGGGTAGCGGCCCAGGCCCCAGCCTCGGCCGGCCGTGCAATCTAGGCGAGGCCGGAGGCTTTGCACGGGACTAGGCCTCTTCACGGCAAATCTGTCAGGTGAGTACTTTGTGCTATATAGTCGATATATACTGCTACTAGCGGGAAAATATATATTTTAAAACGTCTGAAAACTTAAAAACATAACATACAAATGAAAAGATAACTCATTCTTTTAAAATAAAATCCGTTTAAAATCAAATCCGAGCGCGCCAAGAATCGGTTCTTTCAATCGCGCAAAGGAATCGAAGGTTGTAGATTCCTTCAGAATCGTCTTGAAGCGACGACGCTCGCTTGCGAGGGATTTGGCTCTCTTACCGCGGGGTTCGCGTAGACATTTTTTTTACGGGCGGCAAGCCCTAAGCCCCTGCTTGGCATAGGCTATTCCCTTTTCACATCCCTAAACTTTAAGGTAGTTTAATTAACGATTTAGTGCGCTTTATATTTATTTAATTATTATGCTTAGCTCTTTTGGTAAAGTCACATTGAAGGGAAATAATAAAATATATATAAAACAATAAAAAATTCTCACGACGTTTCGACCATAACACAAACGGTCGTCATCACCTGATATGACGACCATAACACAAACGGTCGTCATATCAGGTGATGACGACCGTTTGTGTTATGGTCGAAACGTCGTGAGAATTTTTTATTGTTTTATATATATTTTATTATTTTATTGTTTCCCTTCAACGTGACTTTACCGAAAGAGCTAAGAATATGAATTACTGCAGTCACGAAAGCTTTAAATAAAAAAAATATGTAATTATTGTTACCGCTCAGCGCGCGACAGCACACATTGGGCTTGCGCGAAACGCTGAGCGAGGGTTGCCCCTGGCAACGCGCACACGGTGGAGTGGGGAGGGGGGATTCTCATTCCCGTGGACACGCTACAAGGTGAGTCGCGCATATTAACAGCTCCGTTAAAACATATATTACTGTTTACTAATTTGATTACTCTTAATTATTAGGTCAGATGATAGAGGTTGAGCAATGTTTGATGATCGTACATATGCACACTGTAACACGTTTTTTCCCCCCTGGATAGTGTTATTTTTAATTTGCTTAAGCCTACTATTTATGGAAAATGTCTTAATATTCCCCACAAACTTTGCTTTTGTAACCAGGCCTTTATGTGAGCGAATGCCACCAATGCACACCACGTATTATCATTGAAAATAGCTACATTTCTCAATATGTCCTTGATACAAAAGCTCAGTTTGAGGGGAATTATAGCTTTTTGGTACTTTTGAGGCATAAACATATAGAGAGTAACACTTACGCAGGGACTAAATAAATCATCACTTTTTTGTTACACAGTGTTTATTAACGAAACCAAATTTGCTCCTTTTAGACTTTATTATTATTTAAATAAATCTTTATGTTTTGTTTCCAGCTTATTCACACTTTCTCCCTCTGTGCGGGGGTTGATCAGTGATATGTTTTTCCGGGTTTGTGTGCATCTGGACATAGTTACAGGGCGCATACGTTTATTTATTATTAGTTTATATTTATTTACACTTTCGCTCGCGGTTAATTAAAAACAAAATTGGCGGCACATTCTTATCGTACTTATTTTATTATTTAGAAACGGGTTGCTTTTATTTATTATTTGCCTCTTTCGGTAACGTCGCGTGAATAGAAACATAACAATACATTCAGTTTGTTTCAGCAAAATGTTTAATGCGTTTAAATCCAAGTGTGTGTGTGTGTTTGTTCGTCCATGTGTGTGAGTCCATGTGTGTGTTGGTAGTACACCGGTAACGGCACTGCACCACAAACCTGGCGACCTCAGTTCAATTCCCGCTCATGGTGCTGGCAGCGTGCCTTTTACTTTGGTAATTTCCCTAAAGTCACGTAGATTGACAATTTATAATATAAAAGAAAATGTGATTAATAATTAAATTCTTACTAATATACAAATATTAAACTACAAAACATCCACATATGTAGACTGCAGCCTGCTTACTTTTCAGAGTTAGTGTACTGGCAGTTTAGAATGTGGACTGTTGCCTGCTTATTAAGGTGAGTGTACTGCCAGTCTATAATGTAAACTGCAGAAATTGTTATTAAGCTAGGTGACTGTACTGGAAGTCTATAATGTGGACTGTTGGCTGCTTATTAAGTAAGGTGAGTGTACTGGCAGTCTAGAATGTGCACTGTTGCCTGCTTATTAAGTAAGGTAAGCGTACTGGTAGTCTATAATGTAGATTTATTCTTGATTCTTAAATGAATTTTGCTTGTTTGGTTTGCTAAGGTCATGCTCATTAATTATATGTAGTACTGCGATGGTGATTTTAATGTTATAGTGCTAAATAAATACTTTTTAATCGTTGATTAAATTTGGTGCTTAATTTTGTTCTATTGTTGGGAAAATCAACCATTGAAAATTTGCTGTACTGCAGCTTTTATTTTCACATTGCGCTGATGGAGCGAGCACAATAATATTAGTTTTTTTGGTAGACAATGTTTGCATTGCATTCAAATGTACGAAAGATTTTGTGGCTTTTTATCTTCATGCTCATTTTTATTATTTGCCTCATTGATGTTATATTAGTATTATTGGATTCTAATATATTGCATTATTTGTACAGTATTTCATTATCACAGTGGCTGACTAGAATACGGTATGAAATACTTTACATATTTATATTATTTATTTTGGTTAAATGTTACATATTTCTGATATTTTTATTTTAATGTTAAATCTTTCAGATGTTATAAGTTTAATGTGCATTGCATATGATACGTTCTGGTGGACACTGTACAGGTAAGACAGATTTACAGCTCCCTAAAAACACAATTGTTTATTTTAATAAAGTTTTTCTGTTTTATATTCACTGCTAGGGATTAAACTACGTTTCATGATACTAAATATATTGACAGTTTTATAGGTTAGAAACATTTTTCTAATTTGATTAATATTGTTAATTGGACATCTTTCTCTAATATTAACACTTCCACACAATCCCATCAATACAGGAATTGAGCCGTGAGGTGATGTTCATCCCGTTTGATTGCTGTGCATCTACACATCTTTACAGGTAAGAAAACTAATTTTATCACGAGTTTGATTTTATTTATTTAATCCTTTTGCTCGCGACAAAAGATATTTGACGTCCTTTTTTTTACTTATTAACGATCGCTTTTAACTTGTTGGGTTTGCTTGGTTCTGGCCAATTTTTTCAATATGGTACTGCTAAGGTGATTTAAATATTTTAGTGGTTTGATAGTTGCTTACATTTAGTCTTTTGAAAATACTCTACACATTGGTTTTTTCGGTAAAGTTACGTAGAAGGGAAACAATAAAATAATGAAAATATAAAACAATAATACTCTACATGTTTCTATAAGATACACTTTTTCCAATTTGATTAATATTGATAATCGGATATCTTTCTCTAATATTAACACTTCCACTCAATCCCGTCAATACAGGAATTGAGCTGTGAGGTGATGTTCATTCCGTTTAATTGCTGTGCATCTACACATCTTTACAGGTAAGAAAACTTATTTTATTACGAGTTTGATTTTATTCATTTCATCCTTTTGCTCGCGACAAAAGATCTTTGACGTCCTTTTTTTTACTTATTAACGATCGCTTTTAACTTGTTGGGTTTGCTTGGTTCAGGCCAATTTTTTCAATATAGTACTGCTAAGGTGATTTAAATATTTCAGTGGTTCGATAGTTGCTTACATTTAGTCTTTTGAAAATACTCTACATGACTTTACCGAATAGAACCAAAGAGTAATACTCTACATGTTTCGATAAATTGAGCTGCACCTGTGGTGACTGCTATATCGGTGAGACGAAACGACATGTCTCTGACCGAATTCGCGAGCACAAATCAGATTTGAAACACGGCACAACAAATTCTTCTGCCGTAGCTGATCACTGTTACAACGCTGTGGGTGATCACGATATAGGTTTCTCCGATACCAAGGTTCTCTGCAAACCCACGGGTTTTTATCAGAGATTTGTCCACGAGGCAATTCAGATTTACAAACACAGTCACAATTTCAACCGAGAGGATGGTTTAAAAATAAGGAATCATTGGAAAGATGTTCTAAATCAAACCGAACATTAAACTAATTTTCAATGGTACAGTATATTTATTCAAGTAGTGGTATCCCAAACTTCCACAGCAGCTTATTTCCCTTCACACCAACATTATGTAAACTCCCCCCCCCCCCACCGTGCCGGTCCAGTACATCATTTTTTGCTAATTCCTTTGTCAACGTTTTTTTTTGTTTCCTCCCAAACAGCTTAAAGGACGCGACCTGGGCTTGCTGTCTTCACTCCAACGCTGTCCTCTGGACAGTCTTCACCTGATGAAGGCCACTTGTGTTGTGGCCGAAACGTCATGATTTTTTGTTATTTTATTTTTACCTACGTGACTTTACCGAATAGAACCAAAGAGTATGGATCCTTGTAGTCACGAAAGCTTCAAATCTAGAATTGATTAATATTGTTAATCGTGCATCTTTCTCTAATATTAACACTTGCACTCAATCCCGTCAATACAGGAATTGGGCCGTGAGGTGATGTTCATTCCGTTTGATTGCTGTGCATCAACACATCTTTACAGGTAAGAAAACTTATTTTATTACGAGTTTGATTTTATTTCATCCTTTTGCTCGTGACAAAAGATCTTTGACGTCCTTTTTTTACTTATTAACGATTGCTTTTAACTTGTTGGGTTTGCTTAGTTCAGGCCTATTTTTTCAATATAGTACTGTGAAGATTATATAAATATTTTAGTGGTATGATAGTTGATTACATTTAGACTTTTGAAAATACTCTACATGTTTCTATAAGATAGTTTTGCTAAATGTTACATATTTTAGACGTTTGTTTCATTTGACATCTTTCAGATGTAATGTTGAATTTGTATTGCATGTAATTAGCAGGTCTTATCATTATTGAAATTCAGGTGGACACTACAGTCAACACACAGATGTACAGCTCCTTTAAAACATAGATAACTATTACTTTCTGTTTTTTTCATTAATGCTATTTTTATATTAACTGACAGGGATTAAGCAATGTTATTTATCTAATTATTGTTTAATGATAGTAAATATATTCAGAGTTAAGCGCTTGATATTTAAACACGCATTTTTATAATTTAAGACATAAATTGTTTCCGTCATGGTTCTAGAATACTTGCACTCTATCCCGTCAGTCCAGTGGTTAAGTAGTGCGGTGATGTGAATTGACCTTGATTGCCGTACATCTGCAAATAATTTCAGATGCATGGATGCTCCTCTGAAGAACGCTTGGAAATAAAGATCACAGGAGGAGAGAGATAGGCCAGGCCAGTTATGAGCTTGCTGCGTGGTGACGGGAGTAAGGTTTTCCTTCGCGGCAAAAATGCCAAAAAGAAAAAAATCAAGCCTCTCCAAGAGAAAAAAACACAAAGAGAGTGTCGCTGTGCCACGCAAAACAAACACTGCAGGACCAGCAACTTTCTCAAACAACGAAGGCACCTCAGTAGCACAGGCTGAGGAAACTGAAGAGCAGCATGCACAAAAACAAGCTACTGACTGCACAGCCACTGCAGCAGTCCAAGCTGATGTCAATCTTGAACAGTGTACATCTCGACAAGCCAGAAACCACACAAGCATTGTAGCAGCACGGGCTGAAGGAAATCCTAAACAGCGTGCATCTCGACAAGCGAGGGACCGCATATCCACTGCAGCAGCACGAGTTGAGGAAAACCCTGAACATCATGCTTCTCGACAAGCCAGGGAGCGCACAGTCACTGCAGCAGCACGGGTTGAAGAAAGCCCTGAACATCGTGCATCTCGACAAGCCAGGGACCGCACAGTCACTGCAGGAGCACGGGTTGAGGAAAACCCTGAACATCGTGCATCTCGACAAGCCAGGGACCACACAGCCACTGCGGCAGCACGGGCTGACGAAACACAACATCACCAAATGGCGCGCATAACACAAGTCTGTCATGCTGCTGCATCTAGAACAAGAGCAAATAGCCCAGAATGGAACAGAGCAGGTTTTATTTACCAACCAGATGTCGATTATCAATCGATTTCCATATTAGGCTGCATGTCGATTACTTGCGCAGATTCCGGTGCAAAAAAATGGAAAGCAGAGTCCAAGGGAATGTGCTGCAGTGATGGCAAAGTAAAACTTGGCCTTGTGCAGATGCCCCCTGAGCCACTTAAATCCTTAGTCTTGGGACAAACCCCTGAGTCTAAACACTTTCTCACCAACATCAGGAAGTATAAGGGGTGCCTCTGCGGATGTGTATGCTTTAACTTAGCTATTTCAATGCTAAATTCTATGCTAATTACTTTGTCAAGGGGTGCCTCTGCGGATGTGTATGCTTTAACTTTAACATAGCCATTTCTGTGACCAGTCACAAGCTAATCACTCAGCCATTTCAATGCTAAATTCTATGCTAATTCCGTTGTCAAGGCGCTTTGTTTCTTCTCACAGCTTAAAGGTCGGGGATCTGAGCGTGGCTTTTTCACTCCAGCGCTGTCCTCCAGACAGTCTCGTCCCTTCACCTGATGAAGGCCGCTTGTGTTGTGGCCGAAACGTCGTGATTATTGTTTTATTTTTTACCTACGTGACTTTACCCAATAGAACATCAGCAAAGACGAACGTTTTTGATTATCTCAATTAAAAAAGAGAGATGATATTGTCGTCCTCTCAGCCGACAAGGGCAATGCCACTGTCATCATGGACAAAACAGAATATAACAAAATTCAAGAACTACTCAACGATGGCAGCTATACAAAAATAAAAAGAGATCCCACCAACAGCCTGGTTGTGTTTCGTTAAATTCTCCTGTTTGATTTGTACTAGGTGCTTCGGTGAATGTGTATGCTCTGACTTTAACATAGCTATTTCTGTGACCAGTTACAAGCTAATCACTCAGTTATTTCAATGCTAAATTCTATGCTAATTCCTTTGTCAAGGGGTGCCTCTGCGGATGTGTATGCTTTAACTCAGCTATTTCAATGAGCCATTTCAATGCTAAATTATATGCTAATTCCTTTGTCAAGGCGCTTTGTTTTCTTCTCACACAGCTTAAAGGTCGTGATCTAAGCGTTGCTTTTTTTCACTCCAGCGCTGTCCTCCAGACAGTCTCGTCCCTTCACCTGATGAAGGCTGCTTGTGTTGTGGCCGAAACGTGAGAATATTATTGTGTTATTTATTTTATCAATTTATTATTTTATTCTAATTCTACGTGACTTTACCGAAAGAACCAAAGAAGATGAATCCTTGCAGTCACGAAAGCTTTAAATCGAAATTTAACTGCCTTTACGGGGAGGGATTCCACACAACCTTAAGATCATTCAACAGACTCCGGGATAAGAAGGCTCAACTAATCAAGTCTCTCACCTTTCTGAAGAGATGCCGCGACTCTAAGGTAATACCAACTGCATTTACACAAACCTCTGCTGCTGCAACTTCTCTCAATGCAAAACGAATTCTAGCTAGAACTAGCTTCGCTCTTATCTCGGAAAAAATCAGACTTGCACGCACCGAACTCGATCAGTTAGACAAGACACTCTACAAATCACACTTAACATTGACAGCAACAATGTCTACATCGGATTGGGAACATGTAGACAATATGACTACCTCTTCGGCTGCCACTATGTCGACCAAATATAGGGACAATTTGATTTCCAAATTCAATCACCTCTCCAACAAAAAATCGGATCCACATACTGAAAGGATGTCAACAAAGTCGTAATTAATCGCAGTAACAGTTCCATTTCTGATGGTCTGAAATCCGTTTTAGCTAAAGGTCTAAACTTTGATGGCACACCGAGACACTTACCGGTTAATGATATCATTGCCCATGTCGACGTTGCACTCAAGGGCTTGAGTCAAATCTCTGCAGACGTAGCAAGATCTGAAATCGCTGCAACACTCAAAAACGCTAAGTTGCCACCCAGCAACATCAGCAAAGACGAACGTTTTGAATTATCTCAATTAAAAAAGAGAGATATTGTCTTCTCAGCCGGCAAGGGCAATGCCACTGTCATCATGGATAAAACAATATAACAACAAAATTCAAGAACTACTCAACGATGGCAGCTATACACAAATAAAAAGATCCCACCAACAGCCAGGTTACCAAAACGAACAAAATAATCTCTGATTCAACAGCATTAATTGATGACACCAAACTTCTCGTTGAAACCCTCTGCTGCCAGACCAAGATTATATGGCCTTCCAAAGATACACAAAGAAGATACACCCCTTCGTCCCATCGTCTCTACTGTCAACTCCCCCACCTATAAACTGGCACGTTTTCTTGCTGATAAACTGCGACTTTTCACTGGAAAAACCACCTCTGCGGTACTAAATTCTACTCACCTGGTATCGACAATCAAAGGCATTTCCCTGTCCCCAGACGACCTGCTTATCAGTTTTGATGTGGTTTCCTTGTTTACAAAAGTCCCGGTACCTGACACCACCGCTATAATTGAAGACCTGGTTCATCAAGGACTGCATACTGATGTACCCCCCCTGGTGAGACATTACTTAACCAACACATACTTCACCTGGAATGGAACTTTCTACAAACAAACTGAGGGCACCCCAATGGGCTCCCCCCTATCTCCGGTTGTAGCCAATGTATTCATGGAAAAATTTGAAACTGACACCATCCAGACTGCCACTCTACGCCCGCCCTTATGGAAGAGGTACGTGGATGACACCTTTGTCATCTGGCCACATGGCCAGCCTGCTCTAGACCAATTCCGCGACCACATCAATTCCATACACCCAGCCATCAGATTTACCATGGAGGTCGAAAAAGATGGCAAACTACCCTTTTCGGATGTATTAATTAAAAAGAAACATGATGGTTCAATGAGCCACTCTGTCTACAGGAAAGCTACCCATACAGATGCTTACTTGAAACCGAATTCCCACCACCATCCATCCCAGAAGAACTCCCTCATCAAGACTATATACCATAGAGCCCAATGCATTTCCGACCAGGAACACATTATCAGTGAACTCAAGCACTACACCAGGCTCTCAGGGCTAATGGTTACTCCGACTACACAATCCGCAAAGCCATCACTCCAGTCATGAAGAAGGATCCTCTTGTGGAGCCACTCAAAACCATCACCTTACCCTACATTGCAGGGGTCACTAAAAAGATCTCCAAAATCCTGAATAAACACAAGATCCAGGTCCGATTCAACACAGTACATAAAATCCGTGATCTAGTTCCATCTGTAAAAGATGCTGTTCCAGACATACAGTACCCGGGCGTTTACAAACTAAAGTGCCTCTGTGGTAGTAGCTACATTGGAGAAACCAAACGACATCTCGGACCGCATCCGCGAACATCAAGCAGACTTGAAACATGGTAGAACGAACTCCCCTGCCGTGGCAGATCATTGTTATAATTCAGTGGGCTCACATGACATTGACTTCTCCAAGACGGAGGTTCTTTGCAAGCCAACCGGCTACCATGAGAGATTCGTTCATGAGGCCATTCACATATACAAGCACAGAGACAATTTCAACCGAGAAGATGGATTCTGGCTTAGTAACCATTGGAAAGATGTTTTAAACCATTTCTGTTTTTTATTAATGGTATTTTACGATGACCTTCAGACCGCAGCTCTTTCACTGGCATTGACTCTTAATACCTCTCACACCACGGTTAATGGTATGGTTTACAACATGGAGTATAACAGCGCCTTGCAGCTGTCTCTCTCCCCCTCCTCTGTTTCGACCATGGATGAACTCGTCCGTCTGAACGGGGCCCGTAGTTATCAGTGTTGCTAAAGTTGAGGGTAAGAATCCACTAATTTTTTTTCGCCATATAGCATTGTGATATATAACGACTTATTGTTGGTAGCTTAGCTGATTGGAGAATATATAGAGTTTATTGATAACATTGAGGTAATTTATATTTTAGTTTTTTATTGGTTCACTATATAGTATTCATTATATATTGTAGTGTATACCCAGTTACTGTGAATAGCTCAGATGTGTAGGCCTTGACTTCAACATAGCCATTTCTGTGACAAGTCACAAGCTAATCACTCAGTTATTTCAATGCTAAATTCGCCTAGTTATTTCAATGCTAAATTCTCCTGTTTGATTTGTACTAGGTGCCTCTGTGAATGTGTATGCTATGACTTTAACATAGCTATTTCTGTGACCAGTTACAAGCTAATCACTCAGCTATTTCAATGCTAAATTCTATGCTAATTCCTTTGTCAAGGGGTGCCTCTGCGGATGTGTATGCTTTAACTTAGCTATTTCAATGAGCCATTTCAATGCTAAATTATATGCTAATTCCTTTGTCAAGGCGCTTTGTTTCTTCTCACACATCTTAAAGGTCGTGATCTAAGCGTGGCTTTTTTTCACTCCAGCACTGTTCTCCAGACAGTCTCGTCCCTTCACCTGATGAAGGCCGCTTGTGTTGTGGCCGAAACGTCGTGATTTTTGTTTTATTTTTTACCTACGTGACTTTACCCAAATGAACATCAGCAAAGACGAACGTTTTGAATTATCTCAATTAAAAAAGAGAGATGATATTGTCGTCCTCTTAGCCGACAAGGGCAATGTCACTGTCATCATGGATAAAACAGAATATAACAAAAAAATTCAAGAACTACTCAACGATGGCAGCTATTCAAAAATAAAAAGAGATCCCACCAACAGCCTGGTTACCAAAACGAACAAAATCGTCTCTGATTCAACAGCATTAATTGATGAGACCAAACAGTTCTCGTTGAAACCCTCTGCTGCCAGACCACCAAGATTATATGGCCTTCCAAAGATAAACAAAGAAGATACACCCCTTCGTCCCATCGTCTCTACTGTCAACTCCCCCACCTATAAACTGGCACGTTTTCTTGCTGATATACTGCGACCTTTCACTGGAAAAACCACCTCTGCGGTACTAAATTCTACTCACCTGGTATCGACAATCAAAGGCATTTCCCTGTCCCCAGACGACCTGCTTATCAATTATGATGTGGTGTCCTTGTTCACCAAAGTCCTGGTACCTGACACCATCGCTATCATTGAAGACCTGGTTCATCAAGTACTGCATACAGATGTACCCCCCCTGGTGAGACATTGCTTAACCAACACATACTTCACCTGGAATGGAACTTTCTACAAACAAACTGAGGGCACCACAATGGGCTCCCCCCTATCTCCGGTTGTAGCCAACGTATTCATGGAAAAATTTGAAACTGACGCCATCCAGACTGCCACTCTACGCCCGACCTTATGGAAGAGGTACGTGGATGACACCTTTGTCATCTGGCCACATGGCCAGCCTGCTCTAGACCAATTCCGCGACCACATCAATTCCATACACCCAGCCATCAGATTTACCATGGAGGTCGAAA